CTGAGTGTGCGCCTGGCTCAGATCTTAACTCGCCCAGGTTGGCGCAGCATAACGGAGGTGCTTCAGATGCTTCCTGGATCAACTTTTGAAGAAATACAACAGATTCCTGTTGGACTGAGAAAAAGAAGTAAGATTTAATAATTATCAGTCAGTTCCACTATTTTTGGATAAAGTACAGTATTGTAGTTACTACAAACCACAAATCCCAAGCTAACAGAGGTTAAAACTAGTGTCTGCCAAAAGATTAGACATCAAATTAGAGTTCTCAACTTATTAATTGTCAGTGTTATGCATTTTATTTATTTATTTATTTATTTATTTATTTTTTGTTGTTGTTGTTGTTGAAAGGTTTATTATTGAAAGTTTCCAAACATTTATTGCTTTATGAGAACTTATACGTTCTATTTCTAGAAGCCTCTATAACATCAACACATTCCAACACAATGGATCAGAAAGTGGTGCTCATATTCTTCCTGGGAGGTGTGACATATGCAGAGATTGCTGCTCTGCGTTTCTTATCACAGCAGGAAGATGGTAAGATGTATTGCTTTGAAAGTGATACTTAGCCTAGATAGATGTTAACTTCTAGGAAAATTATTAGTGAATTTTTTTTTAATTTATAAATCGTCAAAGACAATTGAACTTGTATTTGTACCACCAGCATAAGTGTGGTAATACATTGGATGTGATCTGGAACTGCTGTATCAACCAGATACAAACTTCATCACAGCTTTTCATCAGAAACCAATGGTTTCATTAATATTCAGCCACATATATATATATATTGTCAGTGATGTGGCCACCACAAGGCAACATAGGCAAAACTTTTCCACTTTGATGTATTATATCACAGTAATTGAGAGAGACATTGGTATAGGTATTATCCCACTATTATGCTGGACTTTGCTGGTGGTACATTAAAGAGAATTGCTCCTTCCTGATTGTGAAGTTTTGAAATTTGAATTACGAAGACGAGAGAAAATTGACCAACATTTATTTCTTATCAGCTAATGTGGAACATCTCATTTTAGGGCCTGCTGATTACATAATAGCTACAACCAAACTGATTAATGGGAAAACGTGGCTAGAAGCAATAATGGAAAATGTAGTGCCAGAAGAAGGGAACCCATTTTTGATGTAACAGATTTGGAAATAATCCAATGAATGGAGTTCTGTATTATTCAGTCTTGTGGCAAGTGACAAAGGAAAGATTAACTGGAATTCTCTTACCTCAGAAATGAGTCCCCTTGAAGACAATTGCATGAGTGTTTATGTAGTCAATAAGTAGAAACTTAAATAAGAACTGTTGACCCAAAGTTAAGATGCTCATATTCTTTAACTGTCTGGCCAAATGATGTGATGACAGAATAGTTTGAATTGTACAAATACAGAAATATGTTTAAATGGTAATGGATTATGGTGTTTTACATCTTTATTATACCCATTTAAATTAATAAATATAATTTAAATGTGAAGTACTGTTTTACATTGCCAGTTTCATTTATGATCCTGCAAACCCTATTATAGGTGGTATGTTTCCAAAAGCTATGGAATGTCAGTTCAATGCCTCTGAAGATTGTCAATTACCAACAAAGGAAACATTACAAACATTTTGTTGCTAATAAAACAAATTTAAAACTTATTTTAATCCCATTGAATTAAGATGAAAAAATAAAAAGACTACTTTCATTTTACAAACATTGGGGTGTCGGCCTGACGACTTAAATCTGTCCATTTGATGTACAATTTCTGTACAAAATTCTAATATAGAGTACATACAGAAATAATAATTTATTTAAAAGAGCTCACTGGGCATGAGTTAATACAGAACTTACTTTAAACTGCTCACTACAGGGTATCAAGGAAATCTATATAAACCATGATTCAATCTCATTATACTTGAGAAAAAAAATAACTTTGAAAAAAATTCTGGTACCGCTCCATATTCCGCACACTCCAGATTGACGTATCATAACCACCAAACCACAAGTATGGTTAATATCCCACAGGATGAACTGCTAGAAAAAAAACACAATCCTGCTTACAGCTTTTCCCTTATGCTGAACTCAATTTGATATATGACACAGTCATCACAAATGGGTGAGAAGTGAAATGCTTCCTCAAGTCCAGCCTAGTTCCTCAAGATGTGGATAATGGATTGTGTGATGAGTGCTTTGATGATGATGGTGTCCAGATGACTGATGATGATGAAATTTACCAGTTAAGTGAGATAAGATTATTCTCCTTCCTGCTTTTCTCTAACTGCATCCTTAAACAACAAAATATATATGTATTATTGACAATGATTTAAACCACTGAAAATCTTTTCTAATCAACTTTGTACATGCAGTAGACTGCATAACTCGGACAGTTTGAGATTGTAATATCTTTTCTAGTTAGTAAAGTTGAACAATGTTTAAGCAATACTAAGCTAATACAAAAGACGATAATTCTTTTTTTAAAATTTGAGATACACAATGATCTGAAATATAAAGCGTCCAGTTACAAAGAATCTACTTTATTTCTTAATTATTCTCAAATGACTTGATTATTCTCATTGCCTCTCTGATCTATAAAACATGTATAACATGATTTTGAAGGCTTTATGCTTGTCTTTTTGAAAACATTTCTATCATAAATATGTACCACCAGAAAAGAGATCCTATTAATGAATTTTTTATAAAGAATATCCTTAATAAAAATCATTATTAGGACCTCTATCAGAAACTGGTAAAGAAGAATTCAAACTAAGAAGGAAGGGTACCTTAAACCTTTCCTCTAGCAAGGAGACTTCACTGATGAGATCTGTGATGGCATTTGTGTATGCTTCCTGAGGACTGTAGTCTGGTGTTGTCTGGATCCTGAGCACAAACTTGTGTTCTAATGGATGAGGAATCTTGTAGCCTGCAAACAGGACTTGTGGGTCTTTTAGGAGTTGCCTAAAATAAAAACACTCATGTCAGGCTCACCTACACCTAGTGGTTATTAATTAAATGAACTGCTTGGGTGAATAAATACAGAATTTTTTCTTGAGTTGACCCTTGATTTTACAAAATAAATGGTCAGTAAATAAAAAAAAAAGAGACTGAACATGATAGGAATAGGCAGGAGGTTGTAAATTGATATGAGAAATGATGTGCACTTATATATATATATTTTCTGTACACATTTTATTTAAAACAGGTCAGTTTTTAGTAACAAAAATGTACAAGGGTCACCCTCCAACCCCTGTGACATGGATATAGACACAGGTGATGGCCATTTATTAAATATTAATGAAATGATTATTATATTTCAATGTCCATCAAATAAAATTTTTAAACGTGTTAATATATGTAAAAACCTCTTACATATTGTATTATAATTGTTAATAACACAAACACTGTATTTTCAAATCATTTTTTTTTTTTCACTTACGTTGTGAGCATGTTTCCTAAAGTGTGGTCCTCTTTCATCACAGTGAAGAGAGCTGCATTTGGAACTTTAGTGTCTTTTTCTATGATAATCCTGGAATTAATTGCATAGCAAAGATAAATTACTTGGCACTTACAAATAAAGCTTAGCACCAATGGACTTTCTGCATTTCCCAATTCAAATGACAGCCAGAACGCATCCAATGATGGAAAATATTTCAACATGGGCTGTATAAGTGAAATCCTGTTACGTTAACGTATGTTAATTTTGAAATAATTTCTTTTTCAAAATAACGTTTCTTTGTTTAAATCCTAAATCATTTAAGTAAGACAACGTTCAAGCTCCATTACATTGGATTGTTAATCTACTGCCCTCTGTCTAGTGTCGAGGATGAAGGACTATCGACATTTAACTATACATCTTCAAATGTGCGATTCGGGTAGATTAAAACTATGGCCAACAAAATCAGCATAATTCCCTGTGAATAAAGTTTCTTTATAAGCTGCTAGTGGTATTACATTCATCAAATCCAACTCAAAATAATATTTCAACACGATACGCCGGTTTGTCGAACCCATTGTTTATCAGTTAGTATATTTACCTTTTAATCAAGCTAGTATGTTCCACTAAACAAATACCATAAGATACCTATCTTCTACCATTTATTTTCATGCATAACATTCTCATCATACGTACTTTTTTTCTCCCTCAAACAAGAGAAATGTCTCAAATCTTGGCGGTGCATTCATCCTGATCCTGCTGCACAGTACTAACAATCACCACTGGCATCGATAAAACGAGTAGACGTTTCAATTCAAGATGAGCCACATTAGTAGTTTTAACTACATTTATCCTATTAACTCATCACTGTTTTGGCGTACTGTTTGGCGACCGAACAAAAGTCATCAGAATTATGAGCACTTGAATTGTTTTTTTTCTCTAGAGTGATTTTTTTCAACTCTAAAATTGTCAATTGGTTTTTAAAATTTATATCAAAAATCTTCGTCCAATCCTTGTTCGATTGTGCAAGTGTGTGTGTGTGTGTGTGTGTGTAATTTTAATGTCACTGTTTTATACCTGACCAGTGTTTTCTTTCTAAGCGCAACGTGTGGCATTGCATATTGTGACAAATGAAGTTTCATATCTCAATTTTCATCATTTTCCATTTTTATGTACAAATCGCAGTGTCCATATCCTCAACACCCTAGTCTGTCTGCACCGCCGGAGCTGGAGCAAGAGTGAAAACGTTTTTGTTGCCAAAACAACTGAAAAGAGCTGTTTCCGTTTTGCTTCAAAGCCACATGATAAGCTACCTCATGATAAAAATTGTGACTGGGCATGTTTTAAATAATAATAATAATAATAATAATAATAATAATACTTAAAGATCAAAACTTTATAATTCAGATATTTGATTATAAAACAAGACATATTATATTGTATTGTCAGTATAAGTTATAAAAACTGCATGTAATAATATATCAAATGATAAACATGTATAAATAATATGCTAAAGTTTCAATATTATTGGCTTTGTGGACACTGATACTCTGTTTAACGGCGTACTTCACACGTTTGAAAACGTCCAAAAAGAATTATTCTTATGTATGAGTAGGCCTATCCTGCAAAATTTCTCATCTTTCTTAATCCAGGCAATTAAAATGATAAACCCTTCAAATAAAAGTTTACCTGAACTATGTGCCAAAATTACGAAATTTCAGGAAAATATATGACGGCTAAATGAATCGTGCGTAGTTATTAACTAAGTTATTTAATTTTTATTGGCGCAAAAAAAAATAATAAAATAAAGAGAACGGTACAGGGGCGCGTCGATCATTGACTAGTGCGTAGGAGGAAATCGAGGAAAATTAAATCCTGTATAGTTTAGAAACCTATTTATTGACATTGATATATAATACCAAGGGGTTTTTCATAACAGTGCTGACACTATTTCTATAAGATCATATATACAGTGATGTTCGTTATTTCTACTAGCTAAAAAATGGATTAGGCCTATACATTGAGGAGCGGTGAAAAACAGGACGAAAAGAAAACCATCGAAAATACACATAATGGCATTTTTTAAACCCAGTTGATCTTTTGAGGACTACAGTGTATGCTTAATTATAACATTGTAAATCAGTTTAGTGGAAGATTTGAACAGAAATGCCTAATTGTTTTGTATCAAAATGTAGAATGAACAATGCGCCTTTTCACCGACAATCGAAAGAAAATAATGTCCCTAAACGTCATATCTACGTAAATGTGTTACTCTTAGTCACACGGCTTAGTACAAGTCATTAAACACATAACTAATGATAACTTGCTCGGTATTTATTCATAAACAGATACGGAGTGCGCATAGCATTGGTCAATGTAGCATTTCGATTTGCTTCTTTTATCTCTTACAAATATTAACACAAGCATGTTATTCTTGTTTACAAATCAACCGAGTCATTTCATCGGTTTCTAACCCATTTGTTAAGTGTTATTTCTTATAACACAATACCGCGAGCTTGAATGAACGCTGCTGGGGGCACATAGAGCTTGAGGGAATGTGGTTACCCGATCTCAAAGTTGAAACTGTTATGATGGCAACCATTCTTTCTGAACTGTACCAGAATCGACACCCTTGATTTTTCGTTCTCTTGTCTGGATATGTGACTTCCCGATTAAACCCTGTCATTTTCTTGATCAACGTCAACGCTGACACACATATATCACCACACGAACAGCGCCGGTAGACTTTGCCCGGCCTTGGTAGACACGAATAGGAGCAAAGAGGTGCAGGGAGTTAGGCAGCCTTCGCCTTTCATCACTAACCGGGAGGTCAATTAGGAATGAATGATTCCGATCGAAATGGAGTTTATATGAGCTCGGAAAAATCGAATTGCTGAGAAATATGTCGAGCGGTAGACACAGTCACGGCCACCGTGACAGTCACAGTCAAAACAGCAGATCTGCCGTTTCCGCGCCACCGCTGTCAGCTCGAAGCCGTGCAATGCAGTCCTTTGTGAGAGTTAAATATGGAGGTGAGTAGCTTTAAACATATTTTATAACTATAAAATTGTTAAATCAGGGATATCAAAGTAATCCATTCAGAGGTTATAAGCAGTGAAGTACTATCCAACACAATTCGACGACTTTTCTGACTATGGGAGATGTATTTGAGGACATTAAATCGAACACATTTATGTCTGATAGAGGGATATATTCTGGACAAACGGAAAAGGAAAGTAGCTAACCTACAGCTGAAATGAACAATTCTTCTGCGCACTTTTTTGCACTAAGTTGACATTCAGTTTCTGAAGTTGAAAAATAACTGCAAATCACCCAAGCCTCTCACTTTGAATGGTTTGTTTTGTGATCACCTGGGCAACGAGCGCATTAAAGTGTGTATTACGCGCTCAGTCGTGTTCATCTGGTAACCCTACCCCACTGTAGCTTTGACAACTTATAGCGACACTAAATCGTACAGCTGTGTCCAAATTAAGGTTACAAAACACATCTGTGTATATCTCATTCCTTTATCGTTAATTTTAGTTAACGATGAGAAAATTTAGTTCATGTCCAGTCGGCGTATGATAAAAGGATACTTTATCGCTGTCTACTTTTGTGATTAGCGTGTTATTTCTGATTTACCATGTCTACATTTTCTAAGCTCTGTGTTTCAGATAACAAGGAAGCTCTCTTCAACCCATGGTGCACGATAATTTGTCTTTTAGACTCTATACGGAAGATATGCAAATGTGATAAAGAAAGTAAGTGAACTCTATAAACACAGGCACAGTTGCACCCACCCCTCTCCCCACAGATTTTTGAAAAGTGTTTGCCTCTTTCTTTCTCTCAGTCTGAAGAGTCAGAAGTCTCGTAGTTTCTTTTCCTTCGGCCAGCGCGCTCTCAAGTTTTCTTCAGTAGGCGTTTCCATGTAGATGAATACCACAGGCGGCTCAAATACCTGCTAGCAAATACAAGAGTAGCAAAGGTGTTTTAGACGACAACCCCCCCACCACCCCACCCCACTACCACCATTCTCAGCCATACCTGGCTTACCGGCCTGGCTTAAGATGTGATTGCTTTTATTATAAAGAAAACACTGCTTAGCTGACTGATGGCACATGTATCTTCAATACTGAGAAGAATGTGCGATGTCAGAAATCCTGCATTTTGCCAAGAAATAACGGCACTACCACTGTAAAGCACATTATAGGGATGGCTCTATTATAAGCATGATGTATAGTACGCGAATTAATCAATTTTGTTTAAGCCATCGTATGACACTCATTTTGAATTGCAGAGGTTACATGATAAATACAAAATTGAATAGATATACGAGAATAATGAGCAAGTATCACTGAAGTATAATGATAAAACTGCTGATAATAATGTTGGGTTTCCAGTGACGTATAAAACTAGTTTGCGGTTCTTTATTTAAAATTCCGATGTCGGGTTACATAACAAGGAATATATCCCAGAGCTCACCTCACCCAAAGTCCATAATTTTATAATATTTTACAGTGTACAAACGTATAGCCTACTATACACCAAGATATACTGGTCTTTCTACTACATGTATTTGTCATCACGATTATGATAACAGGAATACAGGCGCCTTGCGTTGATAAATCCAAGCAGATTCAAAATAGAGAACAGATAAAACATCGCGGAGAGAAAGATACATGTCCCTGATTTCAATTTATAAAGACAACAAACATACTGACAGAAGTGATTTGTCCACAGAAGGGAATGCATATTACAAATAAGAGATAATGATTTTATATGAGTTGGATAGCTTAACTGCAAAAAGTTGGTTCCAGTACCCTATAGATATGTGAAAGCAAATTTTTCTCCCCTCTTTTCGTGTGTTAACTTCCTTCTTAATAACGTTAAAATAAATATTTTATAAATGTTCAATTCAATTTATTTTTCAGTTGTTATTGACCTTGTGGACATGCAGGGTCATGTGACGAATCTTGGTGCCAAACTGAGGGAGTACGCTTGTGATTCCCTGCAAACGAGGGAAATTTATGTCTTAATCAAAATAGAAAGTAAGTCAGTTACAAACTGCCGTCTGTCGGAACAAACTGTTCTGTCTGCACCCTACCAATTAACTACAGTATGAACTAAATTTAAATAAATAGATTTTGGCAATATTAAACTGAAAACTTTCTTAAGTCAATTCGAATTCAAAGTTTTATCATATGTTCGGTTATAAAAAAGTTATATTTCCATATTACTTTCAGAACAAGCGGGCAATTTACCGAACAAGTATACGCCTCTACTACAAAATTTGGATAAATCAAATCCTGAGCTACATTGTAAGTATGGGGCCTATGAAATATAAAATTGTTTAAAATCAACAAAATTAAATTTTAAGTGATAAAAGGTGTGTTTGCGTGCATGTCAATGTTTGTTGTTACCGAAAATAAAATTAACCACTGTTGCCCTGATCAGTTTGTCATTTGAATGCCAGTTTGTGTGTACACAAAGTGAACCTCGCATTTGTAAGGAAACCCTGACGTCATGAATACAATTTTCTGTACAATAAATGTTTCCAATTTTGTGATTTACAACACTGAAATACACTTCCAATTAAACAACAAAAGAAATGCAGGGGCTTTGAGGTCAACCTTGAAATGAACCCCGACCTGAGCTATTGTTGGTAGGCAGTTACCACACACGTGTCAAAGGTATACATGATATTCACAATATTGCACCTGCAACTCAAAAGTCGTATTAAGAATATTTTCAAAAGTGGTTTATTGGCATCTTTCTCCAGTTAAACAGCTAACAGGATGTTTTGTGCTGGAAATGCAATGAAGAATGAAATGAGACTTTATAGCATACGTACGACTAGTCTTTGTTTCAAACTTGAAACAAATAACCCGCTACTTTCCCCAAGGTAGCGCAAACCCTGAAGAAAACAACATAAGTAGGCCTGGGTTTATATCTGCCACGAGCCCTTGTCCGTCCACCGCTAGAAAAATATGAATCCTTCATTATATTATAGTTTTCATCATCATTTCAGATAAACTTTTGCATATGTCAAGACCTGCCAGCAAAAGCAAAGGGAAATGGGGGAATCTTGGTAAAAAGGGACTCAAACAAATTGCCAGTAAATCCTCTTCACACTCAGGAAGAGACAGCCCCAGAACTAAGACTGGGAATGATGATGACAGAAAAACGAGATCACTTTTATCAAGGATGGGAATGCTGAAAGCAGGTGGTGATTGACAAGTGAAATTTCACACAGAACGAAAGAGATTGGAAGCTTTTGGATACTTATCCCCAAAAACACTCATAGAGATGGAACGACGGTGTTAAACGACAAGGGATTCCTTTTCGAGACAAATTGCAAATCGCAATAACAAGTTCTTCCTTTTCTGTATGCAGACTGACGTCACTACAGGCAGGACTTGATGATAATAATAATTGATGATGATGATGATGATAAAGACATTTATGATGCACCTCTTATAAGTTACAGAATGTCAAAATTTATTTAGAACAGATGATAAAATAATTGGTCAATGACGATAAAAAGGACAGAAGCTATCATTGAGCAGCATTACTAAATAAAATGATGTCATTTTAAATACTCATACTTTAAATATATTATCAGTAAAGTTTTGAAAAACTCAATACTTTTGCAGGTCTTATTATTAGCATCAAATAAAAAATTTGGAGAGTATTTCCCAAACACACAACCAGCATAAAATACACTTAAATTAATATTGGCATATGAATACTGCAATATTACCCAATTTTTCTGTTTGTACTTGAAGTATTATTACAAACGACAAGTTACTTATTCTCCACCAGGGGTCTTTCTCAGACCTCTCTAACCACTACAAAATTTGATGAAAGACCCCCGTTTGATTTGAGATGATCAAGTTCATTCACTATACTTTGTTTATGCAATGCATTTGACACATTGAAAATCTTTAAAGATAACAGAACCCTTTTCTGAAACTACTGAATTATTCTTCTAAGTTTGACAATAATAAGAAAGAGTTTTACTTTATACTCCTCACTTGAAAATATTAAATAGTGAAAAATGAAGAATGCACCAATAATAATAATAATAATAATAATAATAATAATAATAAATACACAACTTTGAGAAAAATAATCTACTAGGCAAAGATCACTCCAGCAAGTTTGAGACTAACAAGTCACACAGTTTTCCATATATTGCATTACAGTGAAGTGCATGGCAATGATGCAGGTGATGGCTACATCACTTGTCTATACATAAAAACATTAAAAAAATCAAATGTCCAATTGCACATTTTTATTTTAACAACGATGTCCCAATTGTACGGTAACATCCTAGATATTTCTGTGCATACACTTATATATTTCATAAAAAACAGCAGATTGCAGTGTGGGAAAGCAAATATATGCAACACATGAATGAAAATGTATAGGCTGAAGTTTACAAACTTGCTTCAATACCGTGTACTGGGAATGTCAAAAACTGTTCATGGGAGTATGAACGTAACACAAAGAAGACACTTTCTAATGCCACCTGATCATGTAGTACAGCTTTTTGGGTGTGCCTCAGATCTTTAGGGTTGTAATTTCTGACCATCTATATCTATCTTGAGCTTAGATTTTAAAAAACATCTACCAACATTGTATAAAATGAGCAAAATTAGATAGATCCGTTATTTGCCATCCAATCTTCCGTTGGTCATTAATTGTACACTTGGACTAGTAAGACATAATATAACATAAATCTGATTCTTTTCAAGGAAACAAATATTCCTTCTCAAGGCATGTTAAATATTAGCTGTCACTAAGATTCTGCAACATCTTGAATCCTCTGCTTGAAGCCTTCTTTCTGGGTATGGACATCTGGGACTTGGCCATTGTGGTCTTCATATCTGGAAGACAGGGTAAAGTAAAGAAAGTTTAACATAAATAGTCAAAGAGCCTGGGGATTCAGAACAGCTGACTAACAGATCTGTAGATCAAATATGGCCAACCCACTTGAATGCTTGTTGCGTAATCCCTGTGGGAGATATTCAGTGTCTAATCGGGAATTAAGTGGTAAGCTTTTTAGTGGGTAGCCATATTTGAACCACAAATCTGTTTGTCTGCTGTTCTGAATGCACTCAAAGACTACACACTGTACACTTTTGAGAAAAAGGCCAACTTATAAAGATGCTTATGTTAAAGGGATAATAACTCTTCGTTTCGGCCAAAAAAATGAATTTTCCTGGAGTAAACAACAATTTTCCCATACTTACCAATGGTTAATGAATCCATTTTTACATTCAAAGTAAGTCCCTGGTTTTTTTCTAAAAAGTTTGGTTTTTTGTTAAAATCTCTTAAGAGATTTTAGCAGAGTATAGCCATCAATGGAGGTCACATGGTCTAAAGACAAGCTCAGATATCAGAATAATAGCTAAAACTACCGTTTTTGTGGTAAAACAGAATATATTATATTTCTATGAGTTATACACAATGTTTTTATTGTGAAATATAGATCTCATACGAAGAGTTATTATCCCTTTAACTTTTTTATCCATTCAATATATCTGGTAACCAAAAATAAATTTAATGTATTTTCAAAATATGACTCACACAAAAAAGAATCTTGTGCAAACATGATCTGGATTAGGGCAAACCCAGATGGGACCATGCTTCTTCAAATGTTCACTGGTGACAACCTCACATAGAGCGATACATGAAAGCCTGTTTGAGTGACTTAGGAACTTCTGTCCAGATACACTGCTTTGGGAGCTAGTCTAAAATTTGTAATCAATGATTAGTATTAGTCAATATGAAAGAATTTTTTTTCCGAATTAAAACTGTTATACAGTAGTTAAACAATGATTGTGACAAAATTTGAGGAAAAGTACTGCAAGAGACCAGAACTAACATATGTATGGAGTCAATATTTCACAGATATACCTGTTTATTCTATGATATTATCTAATCATACATTTTTAAGTCATTCTTTATTACATCAATTCCTCCTTTCTTCTCTGAATGTTGATATAAAGAAACAGAACATATGAAAAACAACATATTACCTCTTTTGTGGAAGTGGTTTTCCCAACAGGGGTTTGTTCTTTCTTAGTGGACCGTGGTGGTAAGTATTGTACCTTTCCAGAGTAATTAAATGACAGTTTTGCCTGGGGACTCAAGTAAATGCCATTGCCATAAGCTGCTCCATTTACCTTTGAAAATAAAAAA